CTTCTAGCTACGCGCGTCACTACCGATGCGTCGGGCTATGGCATTGGGGCCGTCCTTGAGCAGCACGATGGCACGGACTGGCACCCAGTCGAGTACTTTAGCAAGAAAGTACCTCCCGTGCATTCGATCGACGACGCATGGAAGAAGGAGCTTCTTGCCTTCGTCCACGCCCTCAAGCGTTGGCAACATTTCCTCCTTGGTCGAAAAGCATTCCGATGGGTAACGGATAACAATCCGTTGGTATTCTACAAGTCGCAAGACACGACTAACAGTACCATTGCCCGTTGGATGACTTTCATCGACCAGTTTGACTTTTTCCCCAATCACATTCCCGGGAAGTCAAACCGTTTTGCGAACGCCCTCTCACGGCGACCGGATCTTTGCACCGCAGTCTACTCTACCTTCGAGATCGATGACGACTTGCGGGAGAGCTTCATCCGCGGCTATCAAGCCGACCCCCACTTTCGCGACAAGTAMGCGAATTGCTCCTCTCCGAATCCGGTGCCTTCRCATTATCGGATCCAAGAGGGCTACTTACTTGTGCATTCACGGGGTAAGGATCTTCTTTGTGTGCCGAGTGATTCACACTCGCGCACACGGCTTCTTGGCGAGTTTCTCGATGCGCCCGCCTCCGGACATTTTGGTGTCAACCGTACACTTGGCCGACTTCGCCAGCGGTTYTATTGGCCCGACCTTCTCAAGGACGCCACCCGCTATTGTGAGTCGTGCGAAGTCTGTCCGCGTTGCAAGTCACGCAACCATCGCCCGTTCGGTGAGCTACACCCACTACCAGTGCCCCCTGGGCGACGGGAAGCAATTGCTATGGATATCACCGGCCCCTTCCCGAAGCACAAGACCGGCGTTGATGGGATCCTCATGGTCGTCGACCGCCTCACCAAGTACGCCATGTTTTTGCCTTGCCGCTATCACGCAAAGGCACCGGAGTTAGCCGAGGTCTTCTACACCGGTTGGATTCGCTCCAAGGGCTACCCCAAGGAGATCGTTTGCGACCGGAACACTTTCTCTCCGACTTTTGGGTCGCCCTCGTCAAGCGATGGGGCTCATCTTTGAAGCCGAGTTCGGCTCGCCACCCGCAAACCGATGGTCAAACGGAAAGGGCGCATCAGACCGCCCAAGTCCTTCTACGCACTCTCATCCGTTCCGACCAGGTTGATTGGGTTGAGCGCTTGCCAGACGTTAAGTTGGCTTACAACTCATCGATCCACCCGGCTATCGGGATGTCGCCATTCGAGTTTGAGCATGGTTCACCCATCTCATCGCCGCTGGACGCCACTTTGCCGCGCACAGCCGAGAGCGACGACCATCTTGTGTTCCTTCGTCGCATGCAAGAGCTTCTTGTCAAGGCACGGGATCAGATGTCAAAGACGCAAATACGGATGAGCCGTCAAGCCAACCGCAATCGCCTTCCTTGCCCGTTCCGCGCCGGCGATCTGGTTTGGGTCTCCGCTGCGGAGTTCAGCCTTGAGCAAGACATCTCTCGCAAGCTCCTTCCCAAGTGGATGGGGCCTTGGCGCATTCTCTCTGCAGTTGGTGATGATCCCGAGGGGCCTTCATTCCGCATCGCAGTGCCACCTCACTTGCCCGTCCACACGGTGTTCCACTGTTCCAAACTCGGTCCGTTTGTTTCAGCGGAGTCCGACGAGTTTCCCGGTCGACGTACGCAAGACCCTCCTTCCATGGACGGATTTCAGGAGGCCGGCTACATCATCACCGACCGGCGCCATGGCAACAAAGAAACAGAGTTTCTACTTCACTTTTCCTACTGCAGCCACAAGGCTGACCGTTGGCTGACGCGTTCGGAACTGCAGGCCACAGCCCCCGCCGTTCTCTCACGCTATCTTAGCAAAGGGAGGACTACGCCAAGCTCTTCAGCTCCGCGCCATCCTCGCTACATTCGGCCATCGGATCGGCAGCTTCGCCCGTGCCCCGGCTTGTCTTCATAAGGAGGGGAGCGTGTTACATGCTGAGAGCCTACACACGGGCCCCTCACGGGACCCGAAGTTGGAATAGGGCCCCCAGGTCGCGTCACCGCAACCTGAAGGCCCTATGGCATTTTTACTTGGGCCTGCATCAGAAAAACGCCAGCTTTAGAGTATTTTTATATTCTTTTATTTATTTAATTGCTGTTGTTTTTCTAACGTGTGTGCTGTTGTCCGTTTTGTGGCCAGGTACACGTTCTAGGGCCAGGATCTGAATCAGGCCCAGAGGCTGAGCCTCCAAAAACGTTTGGACCGTTTTTTTGTTTTCGGACAGATGTTGGACCATTCGGACCTGGACCGACGTTCAGGCCCGATGCATTCGCATAGRCCCTGAATCGGACCAGGTACCGAACAGGCCAGCCCTGGGCAGGGCCTGGACGTCCGGTAGGGACCCAGGCAGGCCGTTTTAGGCCAAGGGCTGAACCAGTTTCAAAGCCTGCGATCTGGACCGTGGATCGGATTTCGATCTGCACGGCCCAGAACGCCGGCCGTGGGTTTTCAGTCCTGGCCCAGCGCTACATAAGCTGGGCCGTTGCCCAGTTTGAGGAGAGAAGGTACCAGGAGAAATCCAGCGTTATGCTGGTTCAGGAACTTGGCTGCTGCGCTATTTTGGAGACT